ATCAAAGAAGGTAACCTGTTGGTCGCCTTCATACCGAAGAAGGCAACTAGTAGGCCATCTTCTTCAAATCGAGAAATAGTGACTGCTTGATTCAGATCAAGGAAAATGGTGACTGATGGTCACGGTTGTTGCCTTTGCTTATGGTGTTTGTCAAAAAATAATAATATTTAAATAAAAAAAATTGACTTTTGAGCAAAATGTCTTAACATTATGTTTTTAGAATAATTTGTTGGTTACTAATAAAAATGACTATAATTTATATATATAATTTGATGACTTATTTAACCTTTTCTCTGACATATATAATTAGAATGATGTGATACGATTCTCCACTTGTAATTGTTTGTTCTATCATATCAATGCCCACCAACCAAAGCTACAAGACAGCCTAGAATTTACGTTAAACACCACCCAACCAAATGGATTCTTTGTTGATTTGACTAAAAGACACACACCACTTACCATCAATGTATTCACCCTAAACAAGCTTAGCTAGCCTGGACTGTACCTTTATAGAATCATATTACTTTGTCATCACCTTCTATATATTAATTACATACTCGAAATAAACCAGACATACTTAATTACTCATATAATTATAACAAATGCAAGTGGACACCTTAAAGAAATTAAAACCGTACCATATATATTGCATGAAATTTCATCTCAAATAATATACTTTTCTTTAGTGTCTAAGATACGAAGTAGAAAGACATACACAAATGAGGAATCACATGAACTTAGACTAATACGTACACTTTTGTAGCATTTGCACCAAGTAGGTAGTGGACCAATGCCCTCAGAAACTCAGAAAGTATGATATATTTATAAATAAAATAATAGATTGCAAATACTGTGCACAGAAGAATAGTACCAATAATTAACATAGCACTTCCCATGTGAGGATGATGTATATAGTGTATATATGAAAGTGATGGTTTTTTTCCCTTTTCCAATATAAGCCCCAAAAACAATGTCATTGGGCTCCAATTATTCCCAAGCTTAATAACGCTCGAGTCTCCCATTCCTAGCCCAATTGACATTGGGCCCAATTACCCAGGCCCCATAGCCCCATTAGAAACAATATAATATTACAAAAAGATGACACAAGTTTGATTCTTGATAATACTATCTCGAATGAACTTGTCACAATGGATCTTTTTAGTGCTGTTTACTTGCAGTATAGTTTATGGACTATTATACATGAACAGAGATTACTTAATGCGTACCCTTAGATAATGATTGTGAGTGTCCTTCATTACCAAACAAGTATATTCTAATTACTTCAATATTGTAACACTATCATATCAAATAAGTATATTCTAATTACTTCAATATTGTAACAGTATCATATCAAACAAGTCTCGAGTTAATTACCAAAATGGTCCATTGACTATAGCGAAATTACCAATTTAATCCCGAATAAACAGATGTCTGACAGTTAATTTCGCTATAATCAAGGGACCACTTCAATAATTAACTCGAGACTATTTTTTTAATGTTCGAGTTTATCTTATTAACGTTTCTGTATCTCCAACATACATTCATTATTTTTTACTCCTTTTTTTCCTTTTTCAAATTGCTTTCACTCATTTTTATTTTTATTTTTTACTATTGACTCTATTATAAGGTATTATTTGTTCTATACTTTAATTTCTCTATCTATTGCAACCCAAAGAATCAATCCTATTAAAATGTCTTCTAATTTTAGCAATACAACAATTCATATAGTGACTCTAGTCGTCGTAAAGTATCACAAGAAGTAAACCAATTTATGTGGTCCACAGCTGATCAGTCCCAACTTAAATCAAGAAGGCCGTTTAATGCAGTATACTAAAAATGAAAATGCAATGTATCATGATTACATCTTGCTATCTGGAGTTCACGGATAAGCTTGACAAATCATATACGATGGATAACCTCGTTTTGGGCTGCACATATTGCATTGAGTCACTAGCTATTAATCCTATTAGGCCCATAATCAACATTTTACAAACATAAATAAATTCATAAATAATTAATACAAAGTTTGTGCTTTTGGTGCTTTCCGTCGGACCACTAAGATGGTAGCATATAAAGCGTGTAATGGTTCCTTGAGCCACTATAGCTATAGATAGGAAAAGAAGATAGAAATATTGATGATGTACATCAGAGATTATGTCATTTAAATTGAGTCCAAAGACTAACGGACGAATAACTTAAGATTTGTGGCGTAGATTGAAGAATGATAGTGAGAGTAACGTGGTGAGTTGCAATGTAACTATGGACAACTATATACATATTTGATTGACGATGTAAATTTCTGCTTTAATATAGTCATCTAATTATATCACGCAGTATCAATCTCATCTAATTTTGTGGATTACTCTCATTCTTCATGTTATCTTAACGTATTAGCTACCTGGTCGTCTTGAATTGAATGGATAACTTATTACATCATTTAACGTACTTTAGAAGATGCTGGATTATTATTTATGAAAGTATATGCATGTATAATCATAAAGGTAACCTCATTTTTGGGATGCTCATTTTGCATTATATTGGGGTTATATTGTTGGATAGTTATTTGGTGCCATACTCGATATTTTATTTTAATTTGTAAAAAAATTACAGTATAGTCGCTATTAAAAATGCGTTCTGTGTGAAACTCGTATTGTGATCGGTTTAAATTTACTTGTAATTAATAACCGACTTAAACTAAGAAGAAAATATTTTTCCAACCAATAAAATAATGAATACTCAATAATACAAAGTTTCCACACAAAAACAACAACAAAAAAAAATAAATATAAATAATTACAAAGTTTGTGCTTTTTGGTGCTTTCCGTCCGTCCAGTGAGCATAAAGTATGTAATAGTTCCTCAAACGCATGGATTTTGTCGTGGTCTCGTGTATAACGACATTCTGTGTGGGTGCGCGCGTGCGCGTGTATGTGTGCGGAAATGCTCCAGGTGAAAGATGGGGTGAGATCTGAGTCGATCAAATCTTGATCAGCGCCTCAAATCAATGAATTTTTTTTAAAGTACGTCCTCAGTTAAAGAAGTAAAGTGTAAAAAATGGCACAACTTATTTGTTACAAATACGCACTTTAAGTTGTAGGACGACGCACCTTAAACTATGAAAGATGTACATAAAGCTTTAAACCGATGAAACCATACACCTTAAAAAGAAAAATCACGCACCTAAAACTTTAGACCGATACCCCTTACGTCTCAATAAATGACATATCTTAAACACACAAACTACGCACTTTAAGAAGGAAAATATCACACATTTCATGATAAGAATGATGAGGAGTTATTACGTTTGGATTAAACAATTTTGAAGCTAAGTGTGAAAGCTAGAAAATGCCAATAATAGTTAGTGGGGGAATTAAAACATAAAAAAATGTGATTAACTTATCATCATCATCATCATGATTCACTTCAAAACTAAGTTCATTTGACCATAGCACTACAAGTATAGAATATCATTTTATCAATGACCATAACTATTATATTGCATACCAATTGGCAGTGTAACAATGTGTTAGAAGAGGGGCATTTATTTTAATTTTTGTATTGAGAAAATTGATTTTTATTATTTACAAGAGTATATGGAGATTCTAATTTAGACCGAAAATATTAAATTAAATAAACTAATTATAAGAAATATTCAATTACGTTTTTTTCCGAAAGGATTCAATAACGTTAATTTGTTCCTGATTAATATTTTCAATGTAAAAATTCGCCCAAAAATTTAAACATGTCTAAAAATGCTATCTAATTTTTAAGATAAATATATTTGTAGACATTATCATTTCGTTTTTTACTGATTAAAAGTATACTTGAAAGTCAAAAAGGTCATTTTGATGTGGGATAGTCTTGGAATTAATTATTTCTTGACAATTGAAATATAAAAAAAATTATGTTGACTTGATAGGAGTTGTTAGAAAGCCGAAGACTATGTATTGTATTTTTAGTATTTTATATAAATTATTAACTTAACCACCCAAATAAGCAACGTAACCAACCCCAAAACAACAACAACAATATTATTAACTTAACCACCCAGGAGTGATCAAGTATAAAGACGATCGAAGGTTATATCTTTAATTCTTGTTAATACTTGATCAATTTTTTTAATATGATTTACAAACTATTACATCATAGTATTATTATATACGCATATTCTCAAATAAGTTTTTCTCGTTATTAAAAAAAAAAATGATGTTGAATAAACCAGGACTATGTGGTCTAATGGTATCCGGGTTGGACTTCCATTTGGAAGGTTGTAAGTTCGAGTCTCAGTGGAGGCGTTATTAGCTCTTTATGTTTTAGTAGGTTGAGAAAGTATATGAACAGATACTACAATGTAATAGAGCTAGTAACATTCAAAAAAAAAAATAATAATAATAAAATTCGGGGTCCGATCCTTTCGGCTTTAGCTTGATACAACAACTCCATATTTTATCGCCAGGGTAAAGCAAAAAAGTGGGTCGTTTACTCTTTGTAGCTGCCTGCCTTTATCAGAAGTCAAAAGGGCTGCCCTTAAACAATACTACTCACTGAATCCCCTTTTTTGTGTCAAATTCAATTAACACAAACAGTTTTTTTTTTTTTTTTTAATAATAAGTATTTAATAATAAATATAAAAAGACTAGCATTTATAATAGTTGATACTTTTGCTTTCTCACATTATAATTTTTCTTTCTATGAACTATATTATTTAACATTATATTTAGTATGAATAGCACATTCCTTACTAAATTGTTTAACATTGTAATAAATTATTAATTTTCATCATTATTTTATTAATAGCTTTATTGATTCCTTACAACCTAGCTAATTAACATTATATGTTATGCTCGGTGGAATTATATATACATGACACTTTATTCAATGTACTAGAAAATGATATTAAATGCTTGGTTGAATTGGTGACCTACTCTTCTTTGCTTTATAGAAATTTCTATAACGTAACATAAATTGGTCCAACTCAAAAGAAAAAGAAATTAGCTGAAAAATGAAGAGAATTGACATTGAATATTATTAAAATAATATGGAAATAGAAAACGACAGGAGTTTGTTTGGCATTTTTATAGTTAGCTTAATAATAACTGGGCGGCAGCTTGATTAAGCTTAAGCAGTGAAGACAAGTCTACTTAAATACGGGCTGGGCGTCCTTCCATAATTCATTTACAGCGAATAAAAAAGGCCCTTATTTTGGTAGACTTGACCGCCTTTAAGGCCCTACTAAATTGTAGTCTAAAGCCGAGAGATAGATCATAGATCAGATCCAAATTCCTCCATCTTTTCATAATCACTTTGTTTATCTTTCTCATTTCTTTTCTGCATAAGAAAAAAAAAAACGATTGTGTCGAAAGAGTCAACGCCGTGGCGTTATGAAGATCTATCACGGCTTAGAAACGGAAGCGGCGTCTTTAACGGAGGGATCGGGGGTGGCGTTACCCATTGTAGTGGCAGCTGACTGGACAGTCAAAACGGACATGCTAGGAGAGGAGGGGCCGCCGCCTGCGTCGGCGGCGTTGCGTAGTAAGGTGTTGGCAATGGGGTTCCTGGTGGAATGACACGTGGAGGTGGAGATGGCAGTAGCCAATGAAATGGGCATGAGGCAGAGGCCTTTCCCTTGCAAGTATTGCATGGCGGTGCCCATATCCTCCTCCATTAGCTTCGCCACCTGCTGCTCCGTCATTGTCATGCTATCGTTGTTGCTTGATGACGCCGCCTGCAACGTTCCGTTACTGCTCCTTCCTCCGTTTCCTTGTATGCAATCACCTCCCTATCATTATCAACAACGTAACCCCAAAATAAATAAGTTTAATTAATGCCACAATATAATCTGCGAATTGAATAAAAAAGCAAGCCAGGGAATTGAAGATACTAATAATCCAATAATGACAACTAACTAGGGACGGCAATAATGTTCACAAATTAATATTATTATATGCTGACCAATGACGATTCATTCCAGATGTATAATTTTATATTTATATGTATACAAGTCAGAGTTTCAAATGCTCTTAAATTAATTTATTATTAAGTAGACCTGCATATTTTATTTACCCAATATTTTAAAAAAAACAGTTAATTACAAAATAGTAACAAGATGATATAATATTGGGTAATTTTTATTTACCCAATATTGTAAAAATTTTATCCGGTCGTATTTCGCTATTAAAATCTAGCTTTCGAATTTTGATTATAGCCACGTCGTATGTATGTGTGGAATAGAGAAGGAAAATGATTTTGTGATAGGAAAAAAGGGAGAGAGAGGGAACAAAGCGGGCACGCGTGAAACTTTATGGGTTTGTCGCTTTGTAGCGATTGAGATTTGGCCTGAGACCGACACATATGGGGTAGGGTAGGTTTTGTTTGTTCAACAAATTCGTTTTATTACATTTTCATTTCTTTGTCCTATTCTTTTACCTGTCAATACGGTACGCTCTACTTTGTAGCTAGGTTTATCTTGAGTATTGACCCCGACAATTTTTATTTATTTATTTATTTTTAAATCTGACTTAATTTACCAGTAAAGCAAATGCGTTAACCTACGCTAGGCTGTAGTTTTGCTTTCACGAAGTATATTTAGCATTACTTTCAGGTAAATAAGTGAAAGCAAAAAAATATTATTCTAAATATAATTCGTGATAAGTACATTATTAATTAATTCTATTCAGTTTTTAGACTAGGGGATGTTCGGTTCATGAAAAATATTTTTTTTTAAAGTTGAAGAAAATGTTGTTTTTTGATGTTTGGTTCATGGAATTCATTTTCCATTGGAAAATGAATTCCTCAAATTTGAGGAAAACAAAATCCTTGGTTGGACCAATGATTTTGTTTTCTATGAAAGATGGGAAGAAAAAAATGATATGGTTTGACTATTTTATTCTTGTTTTCTTTCTTAATTATTTTACTCTTATTATTTTGTAGGGACATATAGGTCTTTATAGTCGTTATTCTTTACAATTTCAAATCGAGTTAATACCCAAAATCGTCCTCAACTATAGTGGTTTTTCTCAATTTCATCCTAAACGACTTTGGTGACCTAATATCGTCCCAGACTTTTGTATTTCGCTCAATTTAGTCCCAGACTTTTGTATTTTTGCTCAATTTAGTCCCTCATTTGTTATTCTGTCCATTTGGTGTTAAATAAATAGACAATTTCGTAATTTTAATATTGGCATCTCTTTACTCATAGACATGTGAACTGCGAATTTTTTTTTTTTTTTTTTTTTTACGAATTACTCCTAAAACTGCGAATATAAAATTTGATTTGCATGTCCGGGAGTAATTCTGGGTGTAATTCGTACAAAAAAAGATGAATTTCGCACTTCACAAGTTGAAAGTAAAGAGAGATCAATATTGACATTACTGAATTGTCCCTTTATTTAACACCAATTTGACGGAATAACAAATGGAGGACTAAATTGAGCGAAACACAAAAGTCTAGGACGATATTAGGTCACCAAAGTCGTTTAGGACGAAATTGAGAAAAATCACTATAGTCGAGGACGATTTTGGGTATTAACTCATTTCAAATCTAACCAAACAATAGAATTAGTATTCTTAATTCTTTTTCCTCTAACCAAACAATGAAATTCATCTTTCTAATAATTGTTTTTTCCATGAAATTTCAACTCCACTCCCCTTAAAATATTTTCCGCAAAGTACACGAGCCCTAAGTAAAGCTAGAATTGTGCCTATACTTGTAATGCTAATGGCCAACTTTAATAAACTTATGATTATCTCCCTTTTTATTGCAAATTTCCATTACTATCTTTGATAAGATGAATTAATGCATTATAACAATTTCGACACAATTATAATAATCTATAATATTATATTATATTATTATAAGGAAGGATGAGTGGTACCTCAGATGACATATCAGCAACAAGGGGGGCAACAGCTGCAGCACCGCCCAATCTGCTCATACTCAGTACCTAAAAGCCAAAGGAATTTCAGAGGCCCAACCAGAACCATATCACTGGGTTATAAATATAAATATTTTTTCAATTACAATAATCTGTCTCATAGAAGCCTCCTTTTCTAATATTTAAATCCTATATTCATGACATTTTATTATAAAAGAAAAAGAGATGAGAGAGCATACTTTGACTTGCAGCTGGAGGAATTTGACATAGTCGATGATCTCATCCAGCATTGAAGCCTTGTCTGTCTGTCATTCCACCCAACAGCACCACGTTAGTCTCCCCATTAAATTAACATTTCTCATTTATCCCCAACTACAGTGTGATAATCTTTTCTAATTAAGAAATAGTAAATAACACACATTATTGTCTGCAAAATTTTTGTTTAATTTGCTATTGGATTTCTTAAATAATATGCAGTAATTCCAAGGTTTTTTAAATTTTATTTTGATTGTATTCATTGTTACATTACAGATATTATTATTAGAATGATCCCCGCATCTGACCTCCCGCTTCAATTTCTCTAATATACGAGAAAATAAATACAAATTTCTATACAAAATCACATAAAATTATTGGTAAGTCTCTTCAATTGAATTTTAAAATATATTGGTATATTCAAAAAATGTTACTTTAATCAAATAATTTGTTAATTTTTTAAATATTTATTATCTCTGTACTACTCTATAATTGCACCAAAGTATTGACCGGGGAAACTGGATCCTTTTGTAACGATTAGCACATGAAACGAACTATTAAAATTAAATGACAATTGTGCCACAATAGAGAGAAGTTACGAAGATAATAACCACCATTAATGGCGAGTGTTAAATGGGAAATTAAAATTGAACTAATGATAATTAACTCATGATTAGACTAAACTGAAAATATAGCAATTTAAATATGGTTAAGTACCTTATTAGCATTGGGAACCAGCTCCTGTAGGGCCTTCATTCTCTCTGCAATTCTCTCTCTCCGTAACTGACATCCCACATTTGGTTTTGCGCAGAAAGAAACAAAACAGAAACCGTAAAACTCGGAATCAGAAACGAACTGTTAAAATACAAAAAATGAAGAATAATACTAATGGATTTTTTTTTTATTTTTTTTCTGGCTACTGTGAAGAGATCAGTACGTACTCTTTCAGCGATGCTGTGCGGATCGGTGGCTTGTCCTCTACGAGCCCTGACTCGTTGCTGTTTCGGCTGAGCTGGAGCCGCTCCTCCCCCAGTCGATGCGCTGCCGGTCGAGGCTAGTCCCTGGTTCATCGGCGGCGGCGGCGCCGCTGATGGAGCTCCGAAACTCTGAGCTTGCATCTCTCCTCCCTGGAATTCACAAAGCATCTATCCGTAATTAGCGAGAATATTATATTATTAAAGTATAATAATGCCATATATATATCGTGAGTGTAAGGATTTGATTGTGGATTGTTGACCTGAGGATGGTGGAAATGATGAGGCTGAGAAGAGGTTTGACCGAGAGATCCAGTGAATCCATTGAATAGAGCTTCGAATTTGTTGTCATTTGCCTGCAATTAATCATAATGAATTGTAGAAATGGAGAATTTTAACTGTAACGGTGATTTTAATTACTTTTTGAGCAATAATAAACATCTTACGATGGCTTCGTTTTGATCTCCGCCGGTTAAACTCAACGGAATTCCGAGGAGACCGTTACCACCAGCAGCTCCGGTGGGAGACCTGAGACCGGTGCCGGTAAGTGCTCTGGAGAGCAACAACTGCTGCTGAAGCATAAGCGCCTTCGCAGCAGCGGCGGCGGAGGCGCCTCCGTCACTGCCGTTGATGTGGTACTGCTGGAGTTTGGAGGCCAAGAGGGCAGAGGAGTGAGAGGACTGGTCGTCAAAATGGTACGTTTGGTCATCAGCGGCGGCGTTGAGGTTGGACAGAGGCGGCATGGGGAGGGAGTGATGCTGGGCTTCCCAGGGGGGCTGAGATTTGGAGATCAGGTCAGGCCAGGGAGAAGCCGCCGAGAGAATCTGTTCAAGGAAGTCATCGTGAGTCGGCGGTAGATCAAAGTTAGACATCGACATGTGCTGCTGCTGCTGCTGGTGGCCACCATTGACGCCGCCGCCGCCGCCGCCGTTATGGAGGTCTTGAAGGGAGTTTGTTTCCTGCATTTCCACGTTCACTGTTTACTCAGAAAGAGAGGGAATAAGCTTTGGCAGAAGCTCAATACCCCTTTCCGTGCAAGTTTTGATTCAATCTGAAAAATTCAAAGAGGATTATTGAAGCAGAGAGAGAGAGAGAGGAGTCCATATGATTTGGTGTTGCGGTTGTTGATTGTTTATATAGGGACGGGTTTTATGCGCGATGAATAGGCCCAAAGGCTAAGTCTAACACCTAAACATGGGATTAGCTTAAGCTGAATTAAGGTTCAAGTGAGATCAGCCTACATTTTTAGATTGTTACTTCCTTTTTCCTATTTTATCTGTCCTATACTTACTATTTATTCTCAAATCAATTCTTTTATTTTTATTGTTTTTTTTTTTAAATTAATAATTAAAAATAACTATAATCAAGCCTCATCACCCGAATCAGACATATAAAATGAGACGGAGGGAACCAGACATATAAAATAAGTCGGAGGGAGTATTAATTACTCCTCCATTATATTTTATGTGTCCGGTTCGGTTAACCAGACATGACTGAAGTTATTTTTAACTTAATTTTTCATAACATTAAGTTTAGTATTAGTATACAAAATTTATATATTTAAAAACTATACTAAAGGTACTATTAAACACAAAAAAAAAATCAAATTTAAAAATAAATAAATAATATTAAACAAAATAAACAGAAAAAGAAAGAGTTAATTTGACCAATAATAAATAAGATAGATAAAATGGGGAAAGATGAATTAGTTATTTTTCCATCAAATTACATAAACAATCTCTTTTTTTAAGGTACAAAAATCACTCATTCAAATTAGTTTGTCAATTTCTTTAATAGTCATAAGATTAAATTCAACTCTTCTTATAAATGTTTTTTAAATTTGAACAATATAAACTGATTTATTTCATTGTGATAGTCTTTTATCGTTTAAGGAGTTTATCTAATTTACTTTCTTATTTGCTAGTTAGGACGAAATTTACCCAAAAATACACATTTTAATACCAGTTACGAATCAATATTTTTGTCTTTAAATATAATATGAATAATCAAATGAGTATCATGTTCTTTATTTTTGTTGATTAATTTATACTAATAAAAAGGATGCATCAATATATGTTACTATAACATATACCCTTTTCAATCAATTGGGGGGTTACTATTGGACTGAAAAAGTATGTAAGAATTTTCCACCAATTAATTTGGAAAGTAAACAATAACGTAACCATTATAACAACTGCTTTCTTTCTCTAAACGTGTAGTTACATACTTATCATGATAAAAAAAAAGTGAAGTAATGATATAGAGATTGGTATCAAATTTAATTCTTAATATGTTTTTAGAACTCTATAATTATACTCCATCTATCTCATTTTATCAATCTTACTTACTGTTCATTGGTCAAACCAACTCTTTCTTCTTTATTTACTTTCTTTAAATTTAATTTTTTGTGTTTAATAGTACTTTTAGTGCAGTTTCTAAATATATAAATTTTGTATACTAATACTAAACTTAATATTGTGAAAAGTTGAATTAAAAATAAAGTAAATACCCAAAATAGTCCCTCGACTATAGCTAAATTCACAAATTGGTCCTCGACTTTCAATTTCAACCAATTAAGTCCTTAACTTTGCAATTTTAACACAATTTGGTCCTCTGTCTATTTGACCGTTTGTTGACTGTGATTTTTGAGGATATATATGTAATTTCATGGTCCATCATCGGGTTTTTAAGGTTTCGGTTGCATTTACAGACCGCACTGTTACATTTGAATCAACTGTCGAAAGCAATCTACCAAATCCGGTCTCCTTTCTTCATCCTCCCTTTGGATTCAATGTAGTTGAGTTCATACCAGAGCAAAGAAGACAACATGTTTCCGAACCGGTGCAACGTCATCCTGGAGGCCTCCACGTGCTCCGACGAGAGCTGAAGGTTCTTCTGGAGATCGACGATCACGGTCAACAAATAGTAAAATAGATGGAGGACCAAATCATGTCAAAATTGCAAAGTTAAGGATTTAATTGGTTAAAATTGAAAATCGAGGACCAATTTGTGAATTTAGCTATAGTCGATGGACCATTTTAGGTATTTACTCTTAAAAATAACATCAGACAAATCTCGTTAACCAAATCAGATACATAAAATGGGAGTAATTAATTATTGTTGAATAAATATTTGCACTCCAACATATATATAAATGATGGAAGTAATGCCATTAAAATAGTTCAATTATACTAACTTTATCATTGATTTTTTTTTTAAGCGACGAAAGAAGTCAACAGTTACTATTTGAGGGTATGCATAAGGTAAATCTTACATTATAATCAGAAAAAAAAATTAATGTAAATGTTTTAAACTTCTAGCTTAGCATGAGGTCTAACCCGCGATCATTACTGGTAGGGAATATCCCGACCGACATAGCTTCACCACGACCGAGAAGCCTTTGTCCTTTTCTCTTTGTCTTTGCAGGTAAACAAGTCGGGCTCCTTGTGAAGAACCCGGTCGGGGTCCGACCGGGAGTTGCCCGAACGACGATGTCAACCACCGAGCGGTAGCCCTTTGGCGAGAGAGTTGACGAAGGACACGTGGCGGCTCTCTACATCGACAGGCAGGGCACCCGGGAGGATGACACGTGGTGGCTACGTGGAGGACATGCCGAACGGCTGGAATCCTGTCCCCGGCATAGCGGCTATAAATACCCACAGTAGCTACAGTGTAAAAGACTTTTGGACGATCGATAGGTTGTTGTTAGAGAATCCCGACCGCACTCAGTCGGTACTCAGAGCAACCAAGTAGATTGTACTTAGGGCCTTTACCGTGATCAATAAAGTCCTTTATTTGCTATCAACGGTCTCGGGTATTTTATATTGCTTGCGTATAATTAGCAGTATCATTTTGGCACCGTCTGTGGGGACCCTGTGCAACAAAGCTACGTCTTGACGAGCACTCGGCCTCTTTACAACAATGTATCCGTGGGCATACAACAATTTCGCCGACGACCAGGCGGATGCGGCGAGCTCCTCCGACCACCACGCTACCCAACAGCAAGGTCAGACGGTCGATCTAAACCTCAACCTCTCACCACCGCATCCATCAAACGCATACCCGGCCGCCCAACAGCCGGTGAACTACATACAACCGGGATTTCAGACGCCCGGTCAGCAATACCCTCAACCGATGATGTATCCCGGTCAGTATCCATACCCGGTCCCACCTCCACCGTATGGATATTGGCCAGGTCAACCGATGTGCTACACTCCCCCGGTTGGTTATCTACCTTATACGCCTGCTTATACAGCTCCAGCCGCCGCCCCTCCAGTACAACCGACCGCACAGGTAGAGCCGCAGCGTCAGTCCGCAACCCGGGCTCGACGGTCGGCTCATTCGCGGTTGGGGTCAGGGGGTGCCGATGCGATGGAGGCACCAGCTCAGGCCGTCCAAGCGGAGGACCCTGAAGAAACTGCCCGAGCGGCGGCTTTTGATCGTCTTCGACCGGAGATGCGCCAGCGTTTGGGACCACAAGACCCGAACCGCGGGCAAGAAGACGTACAGATGCTGGAGGCTAGCCAGGAGGCTTCATCTGGGTATAGCGGGTCGAGATCTCACCGACGGCGACGCGCTCGGGACACAGCCCAAGCCGCTCAAGCCGCTGAGCTCAACGAAACCCGAGGATTGCTCTATAACCTCCAGGCGGAAGTTGCGCAGCTCAGGAATGCGTACCCTGCAACACCCCCGGTCAACCAATCGACCTTGCACCAGACGCCTTTCACAGCAGCGGTAATGGCCCAGCCTTACCCGCTCGACTTGAAGGTCTCTGGAGAGAAGAGTTATGACGGACGGGCAGACCCTGAAGCCCATGTGAATGATTTTTACAGCAACATGATGATGAAGGGCGTTTCAGACGCCGTAATGTGTAGGGCATTCTACTCTACGCTCACCGGTCGAGCAGCAGAATGGTTTCGGACCTTACAACCGGGCTCGATCAACAGATTTGACACCTTGGCGATCAAGTTTGTGAGGAAGTTCATTACCTCCAAAGTGGTGAGAAAGCCCTACATGTATCTTGAGAAGGCCAAGCAGTTAGAAGGGGAAAGCTTGACCGATTTCCTCGCCAAGTGGAAGGCAGCGGTTGGGGAGGTCGAGCCTATGGACGATGCGACCGCCACCCATATGCTTCACATATCTCTCCGGGCGGGACATTTGTATCAAGACTTCATCCTACACCCCCCGACCAGTTACGAGGAGGCCCTTCGGAGGGTCACAGACTATGCCAACGCCGGCGAGGCGAACGCCGTAAAGCGCTTGCAGGAGGTCGGCTCTTCGTCCCGTAAACCGGCCGGCCGGGCGGAACATCGGTCGGGAGATGACAATCCCCGATCCCGCACCAGGCCTGGCGAGTTTACGGCCTTGAATCGATCCGCAGCGGAGGCCATGCAGTACGCCCAGTCCTGCAATCTCATCAAACTCCCCCATCCCGATCGAGACGGCCCTGACAAGAGTAAGCACTGTGCTTACCATCGATGCGCCGGGCATGACACCGAGGAGTGTACCAACTTACGCCAATTGTTGGAAGATCTGCTTAACATGGGAAAATTGGACAAGTGCGTGGGGAGGAGAGAAGACAATAAGAGGAATACCGATCGGAGAGATCACAGGCGTTCCCATCACCGCTCCGATCGACCAGGTCAGGACCGAAGAGACGATCGAAGGGACGATCGTCATGATGACCGACGGGACCCTGACCCTCCGTCTGGTAGCCGCCCGTCCGGAAAGCCTACCATCCATGTCATTTTTGGTGGACTGGAAGATGCTTCCCGACCGCGGACTAATTGCCCGGTCGCTATAGTGGATTCCCGGGAGACCGGGAAGAGGCAGAAGATGGAGTCCATAACCTTCACCCTCGAAGATCAACCTAGCAGCAGTGACCACGGCATGGAGGCGCTCGTGGTCACGATTGACGTTAAGGGGACAGACGTCCAGAGGGTTATGGTTGATACGGGCAGCAGTGTGAATGTCCTATACTTGGACGTTTTTGAGAAGCTTGGCCTCGACAGGAAGGAGCTGACTCCGGTCGGTGTACCACTGTCAGGATTTACCGGGGCTCTTATTTACCCCGAGGGAAAAATAACGCTCCCGGTTGAGATCGGCGCACCTCCAAATT